AGTTGATTAATTTTTAAATCAATATTCTTAATGGTCTCTAAAATCCAGGATCAGTCATTGTAGATAGCAGTCCTTTGCATTACAGCCTGAAGATGTACATCAGTGGTTCTCAACTGGGAGCAGTTTTGCACCCCAGGGTAGCTTTGGCAATGTCTGGAGACAGTTTTGGTTGTCACCACTGGGAGTAGGGTGGAGCTTTGCGTAGAGGCCAGGGATGCTGCTAATGTCATATAGGACAGTCCCCCACATCAAAAAATTATTTGGTCCCAAATGTCAAAAGTGCTGAGGTTGAGAAACATCGATGTACATTAACATTTTAATACTTACAATCTAGTCAAGTATGCTTTTCTACATTATCTAATTTAAACTTCAGACCCCCCCCCCATGAGGTAAGTGGCATTCTTTTTGCCCTGAAGGGTTGTTCATTGGTGAGGGAGACAGGATACAAACCTTAATCTTATCTCTGTATGAAAATTTGAAAACCTAAGTATTTAGGAAAAAAGCTATTTATTCATTCATTCATTCATTTTATTTATTTATTTATTTATTTATTTATTTATTTATTTATTTATTATTTATTTGGCTATCTTTGGTCTTACCTGTTTTTTTTTTGCAGGGATAAATATTCATGGAATTTGAAATACATAATTTATTTTTAATATTACAGATCTAGAAATGGCCATTGCCTACTGGAATTTAGTGCTTAATGGAAGATTTAAATTCTTAGACTTATGGAATAAATTTTTGTTGGTAAGTTCATGTTTTCTGCAGCTCATCTTTTCTCTGCATTTTTACTTTGAAGATAATATTATTTATTTGTTTTTAATATTTATTTATTTTTGAGAGAGAGAGACAGAGTATGAGCGGGGGTGGGGCAGAGAGAGGGAGACACAGAGTCCAAAGTAGGTTCCAGGCTCTGAATTGTCAACACAGAGCCTGACACGGGGCTCAAACTCACGACCGTGAGATCATGTCCTGAGCCGAAGTTGGCTGCTTAACTGACTGAGCCACCTAGGCTCCCCTAAATTAAAATGTTTTTTAAAGCATGACTAACTCAGAGCATGTAGTAGACACAGAATGAGAAATTTGATTATCATAGCTTGATTACACAGGTGGTTCTGCATTCTTGAATTTAGCATTGTTTAGACTGATGTTTTGAAACTTTTTGGTGATTTGGATGTTATTTGCTTATTTTTTTAAAAAACAGGAACATCATAAACGATCAATACCAAAAGATACTTGGAATCTTCTTTTAGACTTCAGTACAATGATTGCAGATGACATGTCTAATTATGATGAAGAAGGTAATGAAAGTTTTTTCTTAATTTTTTTTTTTAATTTCTTTTATCACACACTCTTGACCTTCTTGTCTACATCTGTTTTTCTTAGAGTTGGGATTTCTGTCTTCTGATTTTTTGTGCTCTTATGAACATATAAAATGCCTTTGTCCTCTTTACCAATCTCTATTCTATTTCTTTAAATACCAACTCAGTACTCCTGTCTTCCAGAAAGGCAGAGTAGTTTTCATGCATGTTTTAGATTTTCAGTTTACTCATTACTCTTCTTACTGTCCTTTCTATTTTTGTGTTTTTTATTATCTGTCTTGTCTTTGAATTTGATTGTAAACTCAAGTTTAGTGACTTTGTCTAATTTACAATGCACTTCAGCTGTCTACCATAGTACTATTGACATTCAGTAAATGTGATATTTGAATCCTATCAACTGAATGCTTTTCTGATATTTTGTCATGTGTGTATAAAAGATGGTGTTACCATCTACTACAAGTGATGTGCTTTTGTCTTTTGAGAGGTGGCAGTGATCTGATTTCTTCACATATGCTTATGTAGCCTCCCTTGAGAATTAGCAGGATGTGTTTTTGAGACTGTTGAATAGAGGTAGTCTTTGAGAAATCTCCAATGACCTTGGCCTCCATAAAAGTGTCCTGGAACTATGTAATCTAACCAGAGATAATATTATTTTTTCCCTTTGTTTTCATTATGATGTCTAGTCTTTACTAATAAGTGAGAAATGTCTAGTCTGGTGATAATTGTGCTTTCTGTTAGTCCTTACACAAAACTGGAGAACTTTCTGATTTGGAGGTTGGCATGTGGATGTGTAGAGGCATGCATATCTGCAATTTAAAATCTCTTAGCAATTTATTGTCCTGAAATAGGATAGAGTTTGAGACTTGCTGTTAATTTCCCTTGTAAGTTTGCCACAAAATGCCTGGAAACTTTTTTCTTCCTACCTAACTGTGCTCTCAGTGCTGGCAGCATGCCATTATAGCATGGCCATTTCTTAGGCTGCCAGTTTGGGGGCCTTCAGAAAACCATATTATTCATTGATTACTAGGAGAGTTATCATTTATTATTCAGGGGCTGATCAAGCGTTGGAATAATAGAGCAGAGAGAATACAAAAAGTATGTTAGGTAGGAACTCTAAAAAGCTAGAATTTTGGGAGTCTTCTCAGTGGGAATATTTGTAATGACACGCTTTAACTGTTACAGGGAAGGCATTTTAAAAGTAAAGGATTCTCTTAAAATGTTAGCCCTATTTCTGCTTTTCTTTCTTTCCCTTTCCCATACTTTTTTTTCTTTTTACAGGAGCATGGCCTGTTCTTATTGATGATTTTGTGGAATTTGCACGCCCTCAAATTGCTGGGACAAAAAGTACAACAGTGTAGCACTAAAGGAACCTTCTAGAATGTACATAGTCTGTACAATAAATACAACGGAAAATTGCACAGTCAATTTCTGCTGGCTGGACTGAACTGAAGATCAATCCTCACAATTCAGACTGAGGGTTGTGTCAAAACTTTAAGGATACATCTTGGACCATATCGTATTTCATTCTTCTAATGGTGGTTTGGGCTTGTCTTCTAGTCTGGGCCGCTCTAAACATTTATAATTCCAACATTGTGGATTTCATCTTATATCTGTGGACCATCCTAGTTTATTCTCCCATAAGTCTTAGGAGCTTTATGGTGATTATTTTGAGGTTTCCATTCTTGCATAAAGCACAATGCTGTCTTCATCAGAAAACAGTTTGGCATAAGAATTAAACATATGAACATCACAAACAATTTATAAAAACTTCTTAAATATATGCTTTGGGCTAGTTGCAAAGACTATGCTGATAGCACTTCCAATGAGAGTGATAATATTTAAGTGTACCGGATCTGGAATGGTGTTTTGGTTTGGGGGGATTTTTTTTTTCCCGGGCAAATCACATGTATTGTTGATGTGAGTAGAGTAATGATGTCAAAATAACCAATGTGAAAAATTTTTAGGATAACTTGGTGTGCCTACCTGAAAAATTTATTGTGTTTCAGACCCTCGATTTCAAAAGGTTCCACAGAACTAGTCTGCACTTACCTTACCCATGTTTATATATAGTTGTCTTAACAGGGAGCTTTTATTTAGAAAATGTCTGCATAATGTTAGATTCTACTCCTGTCTACATTATGCACTACATAATTGGATTTCATTATGATTTTGAAATGCTTATATGCCTGTCGAATAAGTTAAACTATTTAATTTGTTTTGAATGTTTTAGAGTGCTACACAATACAATATTCTAAATTTAGGCATGAGGGTTTTATTTTTTGTTTTGTTTTTTGGTTTTTTTGTCAGCGCACTATGGAACACAAATGAAATTCTCTTAATTTATAAGAAGATAGTAGGAATTAAATTTTGAAAATGGTTGTGATGAGCCATGAAGTTCAATCCTTATAGGTACTGCTTTCAGACAAATAGTCCATTTTTGATGACTTCTTATTTTGTTGAAATTCCTTTAACTGCTGATCACTGTGGTTGCCAAATACTTCAGGAGCAAAAATTTTCAAGCAAGCATGTACTTGATGCAAAATACCAATCTGGCTTTTATTTTCATAAATTAGTTTCTTCACCTTTTTTTGTTTTATTCAAATAAGCTCAGTTTTCACGTCAAAACAGAATTCTCTCTTGTGTGTATTTTTTTCATTACAAGACCCATGAACTGCTTTCATGCTGAAGATGCTCATTTCTCTGTTCACTTCCTGACATGTGAAGGGTTTATTGCTTTCTTAAACATTTCTGTAAGGCAAGTAAAAAAATGGAAAACTTCATATGTTGGATGACTTTGGTCTCTAGCAGGAAAAGATTTTGCTTGGTACATCCAGGCAACTCTATAAGGTCCAGTGTTGAAATTATCAAAGGAATGTACTTCAGAACAGCAGTACATTTTATGTAGATGTGGAAATGATTTTAAGAAACAATGACATCTTACTACTACTTTTTATTTACACAGTTCTGAAACTGACTAGAAAGCTTTCCCCATAAATATTATATTAATATTCCAATCATAACTTTAACTCAAGAATATAATTCTACCAAAAGAATATTTTGAAAATTTCTATTCAGTTTACTGGAATTGGTTATTAAAAAAAAGAAAAAAAGAAAAAAAGAAGAATCCTGCTGCTTTCAGTATTTCCTGACTTCATGTTTGTAAATATAAAGACGAACTTCAATTATGAAAAATTTAAAAAGATATATATATATGTACTATTTTGTTTTTGTCTGGAAGATTTTGAGTTATGGTATTGTTTTCAGATTGATTAATTTGAGTATGCTGTGTTTTAAAATGAGATCCCATTAGCTTTTTTTTTTTTTTCCCAATAGAAAATTGTTTTCTTCAAAGTCTGATATTGGTTCATGGCTTAGTGCCTTGGGTTTACAGACTTTTCCTTTTAAATGCAAGACCTTTTTCAACAAAATAGTGTTTGTCATCATTTTGGTACTAAACATTTATAATTACTGTGTAATTATAAACAAAAAATACATAAAGCTTTGAATATAATTATGTAGCATAAAAGTTAAGGTTGTTCACTCTATGATGGCATCTTAGAATTAAACAATACTATTACTAGGGCTGAAAAGAGAAGACTGGTTTAATGTGGTGTGATTATTTTGAGGATAAATGCCTGGTTACAGGGAATATTTTATACTAAAACAATGCTTATGCATATGGCCATGTATGTGTGTGCATGTGTGTGCGTTTGTGAGAGAGATTGACAAGAGTGAGAGATTGAAAGAGACATGTTGACACACACACACACACACACACACACGCACACCTTGAAATGCTTTAATTCATTAGTGTTTCAGTCTTCATTTTGGTAAACTCCCCAGGCGGATTCTTTGTTTTAAATTGAACCACAGGTACAGTTTCCTTTTTGCCAAATGTCAAAACAGGTACACATTTTAAAATGTACTGCTTTTTAAATAGTAAAGTGTATAAAATTAGAAGTGCCCACATCTAAAAAATACTTGAGATCAAGATTATCTTTAGTGACTATCATCTGCATATCTCTGTAAGTTCAAATGTGCTTCTTACAATCCCTGTCATATTACCAACAGAGGCAATAAAAGCTTCAGTGAAATTGCCATGACTAAATCTTTTCACATATTATTTCAGTGTAATATTTTTAAAGACTAAAATATACCTTAAGACTTTTCCAGGAAGAATAATTATTCATGGAAAGAGCATTGTAATGGCAAGTTTTGGGAAGAAAAGACATGCCAAGTCTTGTTTACTACATTTTTGCTACATTTTAAAAATGTTTACAACTATACTGGGCTGCTTTATTTAATTAACAGTACTGTAGTTGTGTAATATGGCATTATAAGTGTGTGTTCATTAGACTTTTAAGTTTTAATGAGAGAAAGAACTTAATAAAATAACATGGGATATCTTTTATATAATATCCTACTGGGGAATTCTTATTTAAGCAAGGTTATACTATTTTTTTTTTCCTCAGAAAGATTTAAGTGATGAAGTGTTCATCTATTTTTTATTTGATGATAATCAAGAAATTGAGTAGTTGTAGCTAGTTTAATGTGCACTTTGCTTAGATTTTTTAAAACCTGTTACTATTAAGACTTCGTATTGTAAACCTTCTGTAACTTTTATCTATGAATGACAGAAGAAAGTTCAACCTAATGAAAGAATTTTGGAATGAAAAAGGAAAGTGGTGCTGGGGAAATTTATTATAGTTCCCAAAGTATGCCTTTGTAAACCTGAATCAACTTTTAGCAAGAATTAATTTATGTAGTTCTAAATGTTAAGTTGTATATTTAATAGAAAATCATTTGGCACCTCAGCAGTTTTCTTTGTTACTTTATAAAACTTTTAACAATATGATTTATATTGAATACATAGATGTTTTGATAAAATTTTATCAAATTTGATTATGTAATGGTAAAATGTTTTTAAAATGTGAACTATTTAACATATATCTTAATAACTGAGGACACAATACCTGAATTGTGATTTCTACTTAATGTGATAACTAGGGTTCAAATTATGGCTCATCATTTAATTGATTATAAACAAGTATATTTCTAAACTCTTTACTTGCCTCCATTTTTACAGTCATAATAGCAATAATTTCTATTTTTATTTTATAGAAGTGTGATGAAGTTACGTATCATGATACCTTTACCTTTTATTTCTGAGGGGAAAGGGGTTTATATTTTGTAGTTAATACAATCTTGATAGTTCTTAATAGTACTAATCCCCTTGTCCAGGTTTATCCTTAGTTTTTGTCACCATTTTGGTTGAATATTTGCTTGATTTGTATCTGATTTCTGGAGGCAGATAGTGCTGGTTGATTTTTGTTTTGTTTTGTTTTTAATTTATAATACAGATACAGAAATGGTTTTACCAGAGCATTCTTGCCATCTTATTTTCTTTACTGCCTGTTGGGTAATTGGCATTTCCTGCTGACCAATTCATTTATTTAACAACTCAATGTATAGTGTTAAGTGGTTTTGGGCTTTTCTGCGGTTGATCTTTTTTAATTTGTCATAAATAAGGAAATTAAGATAAACAGTACACAACCTTTGTAGTAGGTAGAATTCCTAAAAAGTAATGTCTTTATTTGCGGAGTTTTAAAGACAAATTATTTGGGGAATCATTTTATGGTTATCCATTTAAAAAATTGAGATTCTAAAAAGTATTTTTTAATTTACTTCCAAGTTTTCTTATATGTATTGTTTAAATATTTTCAGTTTAATTTTTTTGTATTCGTGCTATGCAGAAATGTGACTTCTAATGTAGAGCATTGGTTTTAAGCCATACCTCGAGGCTGCTGTGTTCCATGAGGTTGGGTCACAGCAGGCAGGGTGCCTCTTCCACTTTATCCACAACTTTCTACTTTGTGTCCTGTAGGTTAATGGCATTTCATAGGAAATTTGGTTTGGAGAAAAATGGTTAAAAGAAGTTTTTTTTTTTTAAAAATGTCTGGCTTATCAGAAACATTACCACTTTGGCAGATTTTTCAGTGGAATGGAAAGAGATAAGTCAGACCAAAGTTAAAGCAGGTCTGATCATAGAAGACAGCACTGCTTTGAAAGAAGAACCCATCAAATTAAGCTTAAAGCAAGGAAGGAGGAATTTTGAACCAAAATAGTGGAAGCAAAGCTTGATTTGTTTGAAAAACTTCATTGTTTGAAACAGTGAAGAGGCAGTATGTGTAAGTGGCTTAATGATGAAACAAAAGAAAACGATAATATATTTAGAATGTATACACGTAGAAAGCATGTTCAATATAAATATTCAATTTTTCCTTCAAATTATGAAATACTGTAAGAAAACTTTGTATTTAATAGAACACTGGGCAATAGCAAGATTTTTACAAAAGGGAATAGTTGTAGGACGTAAGTTTAGGGGGAAAAATGGCTAAGAGAAAATGGTAATGTAGGCTGTAGACAATGATTTTATCTTATAGTTAACATGACACATAGGTACAGGAGAAATACTTGATCAGTAAGGTTTAGAGATGTATGTATGTACTTGGAATCCTTTAAAAATAGCATGTTGAGGCTTCAAGCAAATGCTAAAAATGTTCTTAATCCTGGTAATAGATCAGAACTCATTGTATTGAAATTATATGAAATGAATTAGGCTGTCAGCCAGAGCTTTAAAATAGTCACTTCTAAGACTGGTGTAATGGTACTTAAAAAAATAGCTTTATTGAGCTATAATTTACACATAAAATTCACCCGTTGTAAATACACAATTCCGTGGATTCAGTAAATTTATACAGTTGTGCAGCCGTTATCGCAGTACAGTTTTAGAACATTTCCATTAGCCCATAAAAGTTCCCCGCATTGTCCTTTGCAATTGATTCCCTCTCTGTCCCAGTCCTCGGTAGCCACTTAGCATGTTTCATAAATTTTCCTCATCTACAGATTACACATAAGTAGAATCATACAACTTGGAAGTCTTGTATCCAGCCTGTTGGCATGTTTTTTTAGGTTCATTCATGTTGTAGACTGTGCCGTACTTAGTTCCTTTAATTGCTACATAATATTTCATTGTATGGCTGTACTAATTTTGTTTATTCACCGGTTGATGGACGTTTGGATTGCTCATATTTTTTGGTTATTATGAATAATGCCATGAACATTCACCTATATATCTTTGTGTGGACATATGTTTTCATTTCTCAGGTAGATTTCTAGGAGTGTAATTATTGGTTTGGTTGGAAAATTTTTGTTTACTTTTCTAAAAAATTGCCAAACTCTTTTCCAGAGTGGCTGCACTGTTTAAAAATGTTCCTACCACAATGCATAAGGGTTGCAATTTCTTCACATCCTTGTGAATACTTGTCTTTTTTTTTTTTCAATTATTATAGTCATTCTGGTAGGTATGTATTTTAACTGTGTAAATTATACCTAGCATCCTAACTCGTGTCCATTGATTGGGTATGCAATTTGGGTGAGTATAAGGTGGCCTAAGGGATCGCTGTAAAATTACTATAGACATGTACTTAGCTGAAGATAGTATTTTCTGTAGCCACAGAGGAAAGTTATAAGCTTCCGGTGGGAGTTCTGGTCCCTCAGAACTCTGCTGAGGAGATGAAATGCATAGGTGAGTAGTGCTGATGGCTGGTGTTTGGTGCTGTTGTGCATATCATAGTTGATAAAGCTAGCTAGTTAGCCTGTGACTTGGTGGTAATTAAAACATTGTAGAAACATTCTGCACAGATGTGTTACAGTCCTTTTAAGTTTCCCAGAGCTCTTTTGCGTTGAGATAACTGGGAATTTCTTAAATTTGTAACAATTTAGTCACCGCCAGCTACTTGTGCTCTTCTACATAATGGGCATTAGAGTAGTGTTTTTTCTTTTTTTAACAGAAAATTTCAGACCTACACGAAAGTAGAATAATTAACCTACTTCAGCATGATCAATTTATGGCCTATCTTGGTTTATCTGTATATCACCCATCCTTTGCAATGCTGACCTATTCTGAAGCAAGTCCCACTTAGCAAATAATCCTGTTTGTATCTCAGTATTTATGTGTAAAAGGTAAGGACACTTAAATATAACCACTATACCATTACCCCACTTAACAAGTTCTTAGTAATTATCCAGTCAGTAGTTTAAATTGTCTCAATTTTTTTTTCCAGTTCAAGTCAATTCAAATAAGGTCCATACATTGCATTTATCTGTGTAAATCTTTTCAGCTGTGGATCCCCATATACATCCCCATATATAGTATCCCCCCTTGGCTTGGAAAACATTTATTTGAAAAAGCAGTGGTTGCTTTAAATTTGTAAATATTCATGCAATTTATATTTAAGGTGACATTTGGTGTGCTTAAAGAATGTATTTTACCTTGAAAATATTTTGGAAGTTAATGAAGTGTGGTATAAAAAGTATAATATGTTTCCTTAATTTAAAAAATATAATGGGACTTGTGTTCAGAATATATAAAGAGCTCTTACAATTTAACAATAAAAAGACAGCCCATCTTACAAATGAGTGAAGAATTTGAATAGACATTTCTCCTAAAAAGATATACAAATGGCCACTATGCACATGAAAAGATGTTCAACATCATTAGTCATTAGGGAAATGCAAATCAAAACCACAATGACCTGTCACTTCATAGCCACTAGTATTGTTTTAATCAAAAAGACAATAGCAAGTGTTGATGAAGATGTGAACAAATTGGAACCTTGTACATTGGTGGGAATATAAAGCAGTGCAGCCAGTTTGGAACACAGTTTGGCTGTACTCAATAAATGAAACCTAGGTTAGCATATGACCCAGCAGTTCCACTCCTAAG